GGGGGGGGGGGGGCTGCTGTCGTTGTTACAGTTCAAGGCAACGAGTTCTCGGCTCGGGGGGTAGACTAGTTGTCTGTAAAGAAGTGGCAGCGCTCTAACCCGTGTTCAATCGAGTGATGCCCCCCTCCCCCCCCCGCTTGAGATATCAAGTCAGATGCGACTGTGACTTCAAACGTATGACAACAAGTGGTACTTCCACCTTGTTTCGTGGCACAGTACTGGACCTTCTTTTGTCCCGTTCACGCGGATCCCCCGCCCTTTTCCTCACGTCTCTCTTCTCTCACGCGCTCATCGTGCCCGGCGAACTATGCCGCGCGCCTTGTTGTCGTTGCTGTCGTTGTTCTGCCGTGTTGACTTGCTCCCTGATCTCTTCTTATCGTTGCCGTTGGTCTCGTTACTGCTCTTTGGGGGGCGGGGCGGGGCGCAGGTGGTGGTGGGTCCAGGTGGCTTCATGCTGGATGACAGGATAAACCCCGAAAGTGCGCCCGAGGACGTCGAGGTTCGCGAGGAGGTGCTTGACTGCTTCCCCGAGGCGGACAGCCACCACGGGTACCCGATGCCGGAGCACCTGCCGCAGGTGTGTGGCAAGGGAGAGAGAGAGCGCAGTGTTTAGGGTCGCAGCTACGCACACCTGCAAGATTGCAGGCGCGCGAGAGAGAAAGCAGAGAGAGGGAAGCGAGGAGAGAGAACGAAAGAGTCTTCTCCTTGTATGGTCACCTAGTTGCGTACTATTGCTTACCGGCCTCTCTTTCGTTTCTCCGGCGAGGGGGCGTGTTCTCGCCCTCACGTTCGACTCACCTTCCTTCTGGAACAATTTGGCCATCGGTGATCGGTCCTGTGGGAACCATGCTCCGTCCTCTCGAGGACGCGTGGTCAATGGTCTAACCGCTAAGACATGCAAAACATAAGAGTACGCCCCCCCCCTCGGTGTTTGCCATCGGGATTGGGTTTTCGTCGCTTGGCAACGACGTTGTAAANTCTAACCGCTAAGGCATGCAAAACATAGGCACAAGAGCACGCCCCCCCCAAACACCTCTGCTTTATACCACTAGTTTCACGCCAGGATCATCGCCATGCTCAACTCTACCACAACCCTTTGCCCCCCTAGCCGCACCCTACCCCTCACGGCGGCCCGAGACCTCCCCGCTTCCGGGTTTTTTTTCATCTCCCTACGACATACGCACCGCACTGGTTCACATGTATCCCCCCCCCTGCTACCCCCCCTACCCCTACCCCCACGAACCCCCCGCGGGCGATCTCCGATCTTCCGCAGTTTGTGTTCCCGGATGGGATGCGTCTCCACAGCCAAGAGAAGCCGCCGACCACGTTCTCCTTCATCCTGACCAACAGCTGCGGCCTCAAGATGCACGGCGCGGCGCTACACGTGACGGAGGAGATAGACTCGCACAACGTAGGGGGCATGGTGTCGCAGGCGCTCAACAGCAGCAGCAGCAGCAGCGGGGGCGCCGTGGGCGGGGATGGCGGCGGCGGGGGGGGGGGNGGGGGGGGGGGGGGGGGGGGGGGGGGGGGGGGGGGGGGGGGGGGAGGCGGGGGGCAACGTGGGCGGCCGAGCGCGCCGCTGACCCCGGCGCAGTTGCCGACGTGGCTGAGAGATACGGTGCGATACAAGTGCTGTTGTGTTGTTGGCATATTGGAGTATTGAATTGCTAGGTTGTGCTTGGGTGTTTGAGGGGTTGGTAAAACTGACCGTGGACTCGCTTTGAGTGGCGGGATACCGTTGTTGCTGTTTGTTCTGATGTGCTGATACCGACACCGGCATCAGCACCACGCAGGTAGACTGGCTGGGGTGGGTGGGGGGGGCATGAAGTTCTTGCAGCCCGCCATTGAGGTGGGGCGTGGGTTTCTTTACCGCGTCCTCTCACAGGAGCTGTTCCCTTGTGCTGTGTTCTTGGCTTCCTGANGGGGGGGGGCATGAAGTTCTTGCAGCCCGCCATTGAGGTGGGGCGTGGGTTTCTTTACCGCGTCCTCTCACAGGAGCTGTTCCCTTGTGCTGTGTTCTTGGCTTCCTGAGACCCGCCTTTTTTTACCCCCATCCTCTTAAGGTTTATTAGTCGAGCGCGAGAGGTCGATCTTCTTGAGGGGGCCACGTCACCCCCTCTTCTACCCTATGTTTTAGACCCATGCATGGCCTTTGCTCTCTTGGCTTGCTCTCTACGATGTGTGCCCGTAACAAACAACGACGACACAACGACCAACGTACGTAAGATGTCGCGTCTCGCTAGCACTCTCTCTCATGACTCCCTCTCTTTCCATGATGTATGCCCGAAACCAACGACTACATGGCAACCACCTACTGCTGCCGCCACCGCCGCCACAACACGGACGCCGACAACACACAACACAACACAACGACCGACGGCAGATGGCCACGCCGGAGAGGACCGGCGGCGACGAGCGAGCGAGAGCGAGGGCCGGACACGAGTACCCCCAGCTCTACGCCCCCAAGGCCCTGGTGTTGCTGAGTCATTACCCGTTTTACAACCTCTTCACGCAGTTCTTGCAGCAGGTGTGTTTGTATGTGTGTCCCCCTGGACGGTTTGGCAGGGAACATGGGGTGTTTTTGCGTAGGGGTAGGCGCACGGTTGGTGTCGCTGCCACCGGACGCAATTTTCGGGGTGTTCCGTGTCAAGACTTCGGGGGTAATTAATTTGAGATCTGTCCTTGGTGTCTGGTCCGAGGAGGAGATTAGATGTCTGGGAAAAAACGGAGAGGCACGGGTGGTGGTGGTGGTTAAACGTAGCACTTTTGACGCACTCCCCGTCGATGTTGGTGAGGGAGGGAGGAGGGGAGGGGGGGAATGCACGCGTGCCGCCGGCTGGGAGTGTGGTTGCTGTCGCCTGTTGTGCGATGTTGTTGCGTCCGATCCGATCGAGCTGTGAGGGGCATTTGCGGAGACGGTGGCCACTCGGCGGACGCTGCCGTCCCCCCCCCCCCCCCCCCCCCCCCCCCCCCCCCCCCCCCCCCCCCCCCCCCCCCCCCCCCCCCCCCCCCCCCCCCCCCCNAGCTTGCTTGACCGTTTCACACCCTCCTCGTCTGTCACACGAGACCGCTATTTAACTATTTTTTTTTGTTCGGAGGGATACCACGGTGCCGCTCTATCTATCTATATTTCCACGATGTTTCACTCCATCTGTTTACTGTTCACTTGCTGTTGGTTGCAGTGCAGTCCAATTACCCCTCCCTCCCCTCCTTCCTCTCGATTTTTGCGCACGGTGTTCTTGTCGTGCCCTCCACGTGAACATCAAGATTTACCGGATCGGATTGAGCGAGGCGCCGCTACCGATCGAACGCTACATCAGTAACTTCGTCTGCGAAGTACCGCTGCCGCCCCAGGGGCAGGTGCGTGCGGCGCTTGAGCTTGCATGATCAGCAATAGCAGCAGCAGTAGCCTGAGCACCGCTGCAGGTTAAAATGCGCTGGTGACGACGGCCACTACTGCTGTATGGTGTATTCGTTTCACTCTGTATGTCTGTCTTTGAGCCGAACTCGGACACCACCGGGAAATAGTTCGGTACATTCGAAAACGCGGGGGAAAATCTCTAAAGCGTGTCTTACTGTTTCGTAAAGCGTGCTTTACTGTTTTGTATCTGACACGCACCGGAAACGAGTACCACATATCATGTCACCCTGCCGACGCCATTTTAGGGTACAAGAACACGAATTCAAAAGTCAAGGAGTCTTTTTGCCCCGATCCTCGCGTTTTTTTTTTACCCCGACCCTCGTGGTTGAGGTTCTCAAGTGCATTTTGTCGGGGGTATTCGGGCAGCCAAACCCAGCTGTGATGAGTCCTCGCAATGGGAAAAATAAAGTATCGCTTATCGGTGCATGCAACGCCGCGACTGCGCCCTTGGCACTGCCCGGTTGATCACAGGCGGAAGCGCGACGTCGACCTCTCGTTCCAACACAGGGACAAGAGTATCCCCCCGCCCTCGATGTCATCGAGTGCTATTTAGACTTGATGGCCATGTCTGACCCGTTGTCTCCATGGAGCTGTTGTAGTCCGTCCTTGCCCCTGACCTGTGTTTCATCCTCAACCCTTGCCCCCCTCCTCGAACCATGTGTCTCGGCCATCCATCCCCTGGAGGCTTGCTGACCCCCCCTTCCCCCCGCCCTAGATGTGTTCTGACCTTGACCTCACGATGCACGCCCTCCCTCCTCTTCCCTCGTCGGCGTTATTCGACCCGAAACGAAATCCAGGTGGAGGTTAACTACGCCCTGCCGGACAGGACGTTGACCATCACACGCCCCCCGAGAAATCGCCTGCCGCTGGTGGACTTCAGCTACCGGCCGCTGTTCGCCAGCCTCTCGGTGGACAACATCCTTTGCGCCTTCGGCCTCCTGCTGACCGAGGCAAAGGTTCGTGTGTATTATGTGTATTTACTGTATTTGCGTGTTATGAGAGTTGCGGGTTGATGCAGGGCGGCGGGTGAGAGAGGAGGTGCTGGAACTGACTCTGTCATGAATGGAATGTGACTCTAAAAGTGAGCGGCTCCAGCAGGAGTGGTGATCCGTCGACGCTCTCTCTCTCTCTCCCAGCACCTGTAAACTATCGTGCAAAGCTGGTAGGCAAAGGTCCAACAACTTGACGAGCAACTCCCCCCCCCTCACCATCCATCCTCCTTGTTTGCGCCCGCGCCCGTGAACCGCTATCGACTGGTTGGCTGTCAGGTTGCTTTGTGCTCGTCGCACTACGCGTTGTTGGCCCCCGCGGCGGAGGGCCTCTTGTCCCTGCTGTTTCCGTTCGTGTGGCAGGGAGCCTACATCCCAGTGATGCCGTTCAACATGAAGGACGTGTTGGAGGTGGGTGAGGCAAATTATTGTGGGGGGGATGATCGGGAATGTGCGGCTTTGCTTTTGTGCAACGTCCGGCTTTCGAGCTCGTCTTGTGTTTGTGGGAAGCCGGGGGGGGCGGGTTGCTTGAGCGGAGGGCATCGGCGTATCAACAGGTGAGGTACGTGCGGTGTTGTTTTGTTGAAGGGTCGACTGCCTGATGTTGATGATATGATAATGATAGAAGGATGTAACAGAAGGCGTGAAGAGCGACGATAGCTCATCAGCGATGGCCCCACGCTGCGCCCTCGAATCTATGCGCCTACGATTTTGGCGATAGAGCACGAGTTGTTGTAACGCTACAACATGGCAGGAAGTAGTCTGGATTATGCGAACTCTGACTCGCCTCGCCCCGCTCCTACCGTATTCCTCCGTCTTGATGGTGCCCACGGTCTCACACCCGTAAAAAACACTTGGATGCGTGCGTGCAGGCCCCCGTGCCGTTCCTCGTGGGCATCCACTCCCGCTACCTCCAGGAGACCAGCAGCGAGCGGCGGCCGCAGGGCGTGGTGTTTGTCGACCTCGACAACGATAGCATTTACCTGGGACTGGACGAAGACATGTGAGAAGACGCCACTCGTCCTCCGAGTGCAGCTTTGCCTCGCGGTCCCGAGTTGAGTTGTTTGTAGGACTGAGTTGTTTGTAGTCCAACCCGGCCGGACCCAACGGCTGTATTGCCGTTCGTGCACACGGCGGAGCACCTTCCTCTCCCGCCCCCCTTACTCTACTGGTACGCAAGCAGCTACTTGACCATGAAGCAAAGCAAAGAAACTTTTTTTGTTTCCTTCGTTGATGCCGTGTTTTTTCTTCTCGCGGGTGGCGGCGGTGGGTAGTCCAGAGTCTCCGTCATCCCCACCACCGCGGCAACAGCGCTGTCCTGGTTTTCCTCCTGCGCAACTGCGCGGGTTAGAGAGGGCAGCAAATCTATAGGTAGCTCTTGGTTCCTTACGAAAAGAGGAGATAACGTGCATGCCTTGCGGCAAAAAAAAAAAAAAAACGGTGTGGTTTCCGTTTTTGCTTTTGTTACTGTCAGGGGGGCTCCGCGGCGACGGCCGCACTTGCCGGAGAGGGAAGCGAGCAAGCTGAGGCAGAAGCTCAACGAGGTGACCAACCAGCGACAAGACAGAGGTTGTTTTGCTTGCTTCTATCTTTCTCTACCGCCGCCACTACCACCACCGCCCTCTCTTCCCCTGGCCTATCTGTCGCCTGTGGTCGTCTGTGGTCGAAGAAAGACTTTCTACCTTATGCACAACCACGACTACCCCCCCCCCCCCCCCCCCCCCCCCCCCCCCCCCCCCCCCCCCCCCCC